TTCGTGTCAACATCGCGGTATGCGGCCGAGCATTATCATGCTGGAACTGTAGACCTGGGCCATGAGCCGCCATGAAAGGAACGAGTTCAGGGGTGAGCACCTGGCCGTGGTAAGCAGCAGCTGTGAGGTTTCCACGGATGACCAGAAGTCGGGAACGGTTGTTCCCACGGAAAGCACCCCACACCATGCAACTTCCGCCCCCGAATCTGTCGACTTCCTGTACACAACATTGGGCATACCGTTCACGACGTCGTCTCCAAACTCTATGCCTGCCGTCCGCGAATCTGAGGGTAAACCTGGATTCATCGCTAAAGACGACTCGATTCCAGTCTCTCTGGGTCCATCGGAGGTGACTTAGGGCCCACAGCAGACGTTGACGTTGATGAAACAGCGTCAATATTGGCCCACGATATGGACGTCGAGAATGGAGATTGGCAGCCCGCAACCGATTTCGAATGGTCTATGAGGACAGTCGACCTCTAAACATCTCAGCCCTGGTTCGTGTAGCCGGCAGAAATCTGTCACGTAGGTGATGTAGGACGATTTGACGGTCTTCTGCTCGTGACGTCACACGTGGACGACCCGACCTTGGGCGATCAGAAGTGGTGCCAGTTTGTTGTAGACGACCTCGCAAGTCATACACAGTACGACGGCTGCATCCCATTGCTCTTGCGACGTCAATAACTGATCTTCCCGTTTGCAACATGCCAACGGCACGTTCACGTTGCACATTTGACAATCGTGGCATTTCAAGTACCGTTAGAACTGTGGTTTAAAAGTGTTTTTTCAATTCTTGGGGCCAATGCAAACACGTGCATATGAAGAAAACTTCGATGCGAAGATCACGTGATCGACTGCACGTGCAAAACCTGATTTGGCACTAACGTCATTTGCACGACGAATGGATGGGTTTGAGTGGGTTTTGCTAACGTTTTTCTCGAGTCGAAAGATAGGGATCCCATTTCGGATACATAGATGTATCATCAGAGAAAAATTATTCATTATTTTTCAAATTACATTTTGTGAAGTTTCTTTTTTGACTCAGTATATGAAAACCCCAACATTGTTTCATTGTGTAGGCATTTGCCCACCTTGTCTGTTGGAATGTTCCATTTATGTAATGGGGAGAAGATACTGCTGCTTGAAATCACTGGTGCATTATTCTACACTTTAAGCATTTGTCACTGTAGGCATTTGGAGACTACGCCGTTTAGGGATCCTCTTAGCCAAACACTGTATGATCTTCTTGTAGCCCCTAATAAATCAAACATCAAAGGTTTCCTCAAATACATCACCAGTAAGTCTTACAACTACAGTGTTGATCAGTTAACGCTTAGTGCAGCAATCCATTAACATCAGGGTTAGAATTGGTCTTCAGCAACCCATGCTTGTCGTAAGAGGCGACTAACGGGATCGGGTGTTGACACATGTCATCGTATCCCAATTGCGTAGATCGACGATGCACATGCTGTTGATCACTGGATTGTGTGGTCCAGACTCGATTATTTACAGACCGCCGCCATATAGCTGGAATATTGCTAAGTGCGGTGTAAAACTAAACTCACTCTCTAAGAAGCTGAAATAGGGTACAAGTCCTGACTGTAACTGCGTAGGACAATTTCGACACTTCTACCTCCATATATCTCCCATGAAACGTTTGGAAATATTAACTAAAGCTTCAAATGCAGTAACACTGATCACAAATTTTGAGCAAGACAGGTGAGACGTTCTATTAAATAAATATATTATTTTTTTAAATTTAACAGGCCTTTTATAGACCATTTTGGTGCAAAGTTTTATTGTATTCATTACGAGGTTTAAGGTTCGGCTGATTATTGTTTTAGAGATAGAAACTGTTCAAGTGGGATATAGGGGAGGGAGGCAATCCAATAACTTGTCATTGGTCTTTGTGAAGATATACTGGTAAAAGCGAGTGAGTTTTTTACGCCGCCGCTTTTAGCAATATTCCAGCAATATCACGACTGGGAACACCTCAAATGGGCTTCACACATTGTGGCCATGTGGGGAATCGAACTCGAATATTTGGCGTGACGAGCGGACGCTTTAACCACTAAGCTACCCCACCGCCCTTAACTGGTAAACTATTAAGAAAACGTTTATTTTATTACGACAACCGACAGTTAAAACCATTGCCAGCCAATTATTGTAAACAGAAGGCTTAATGTCAAGAAGTAATACAAAGGTATTACAACAGCTGGTAATATTATCAATAATATTAATAGAGTGTAATCCGTTTAATCTGATCTAACTTCAAAGGATGACATACTCAGTATGCGAGTTTCATAAGATTTGCATTTAATCCAGATACTTATGTCACACTGCAAGGAAACACAACTTGTAGAAGCCAAACAGTTACATTTTTAATGCACGTTTCCGTCTATATCTTCACACGTCACCGTTCCGCGCATCTACTTACAGCACCAGTACAGATAAATACTGCTGAGGTATTAGCCAGGATCCCAGTCGGCGGTCATGCGTGCGCATGATGTTGTCATGGATGTCACGATTTACTTGATTGCCCTCTCATAGCAGGTCAGCGTTACGAAGTATGCGCTATGAAGTCCGTTGTCTACCACAAATCAGACTGCTACAAAGGAATTATTGCATATATGGAATTTAATGGTAAAATATATGTGATTGTAATAATATAAAGTCATTAAAATTGTTCATTTCCTGTTTTTGATTATTTTAAATGTAGTAATCGATGTATTTCTCTTAGAAGGTACTACGTTCAGTGGTGTGTTATTTGTTTGCAGTCAAGGCTTAGGTGCAATTTCAGATGATGATGGTGGTGATGATGATGATGATGATGATGATGATGGTGAGCCTGAGATATTTATTTTATCTGAGTGGAGGCAGAATTATAACAGAACCTAATTCAAGACGCACCATTCCAGTTGTTTCAGACATTAAACATGAGGATTTGATTTTGCATGTTCTCTTGGGGTTGTTTTATAACATTATGAAACTGCAACCTGAAATATTATACAAAATAATTTCAATCAAGCAGTTAAATATTTCCCGCATTATCTATAAAGCAGTATGTTCACATAGGGCAGTACGTGCAATGGTGGACCGAGACCGGTAATATGTATCTGTGGCAGATGTTAAGTTTCATTATATTTCTTTAAGGGGCGGTGGGGTAGCCTAGTGGTTAAAGCGTTGGCTTGTCACGCCGGGTTCGATTCCCCACATGGTTACAATGTGTGAAGCACATTTCTAGTGTCCCCCGCCATGATATTGCTGGAATATTGCCCAAAGCTGCTTAAAACCATACTCACTCACTCACTGTTTCATAATAACCCCTTTGGAAACATAGGATGAGACGTGTCCATAATATTTTATGAGTGCTTCTCGCAATTATTAGCTTTACATGTTCCTGGAGAATATTGACTCGTGACTTTAAGGTTTCGCGAATCGCTACATAAAGTGAAGTCTTAGTTCCTATCTTCAGAATATTACCTGGAGAACTCTGGCTGATCTACTAGTAATATACGCAGTGTGTATTTGTGAACAGTACATGGGAGGGAAATCAGCTATGTTTGATGCACACGGATCTGGTTGAGACAATCCAGTGAACAACAGCATGAGCATCGATCTGCACAATTGGGATACGATGACATGTATCAACCAAGTCAGCGAGCCTGACCGCCCGATCCCGTTAGTCGCCTTTTACGACAAGCATGGGTTACTGAAGATCAATTCTAACCCGGACCTTCACGAATGAGATCCCCACAGAGAGCAGCAACTGTAACAGCATCTGCAGCTACTCAGTGTGTACGATAAATATACAACTAATACATTACAGTGGAAGCCCTCTAAACCGGCATTCGTTGGGACCGGATTGGAGAGCTGCCGGTTTAGAGGGCTTCCACTGTATTAACATACATTTCACATACCGGTGTAATATTTGTAATGCAGATGTAAGTGCCCAATACAGCTTAAATTAAAGTAATATTTTTGTAAAACAAATACATGTAGGTCTTTTTGAAGTCAGTTATATCAAGATGTTCAAATGAGATCAATTCTAACCCGGATCTTCACGGGTCATTCGGGAAGCACTATGTCATCGGGGCGGTAGCCTAGTGGTTAAAGCGTTCGCTCGTCGCGGCTCACATGGGTAAAATGTGTGAAGCCCATTTCGCGTGTCTCCGGCCGTGATATTGCTGGAATATCTCATACACTCACTTATTTCGGCGATCGGGTAAACTAAACTTGCAACGTTAACGTGACTAGCTCATCTGATGAAGGATGATTACAGAATACGAATTCCCAAATTGTGTTTCACTTTTCTCAAAGAAGCTGCCACTGCTTCAGAGTAAATGATTGAACGACTGAGTGAATGTTGTTTTTGTGTATTTTATAGCAAAAGTCGTCGTGTCTGCTTGACACAACAGACAACAGACAACAAACGTCGCACCCATCAGACAGAATGTATACTGGACAAAAATAGTTAGGGATATATGTAAATTTTGAAATTATGAATAATGATCTATTTATTCATTGACACATTGATAAAATATCAATCATAAAAATACCAATATCCCTAACTTATTTTGTCCAGTATATTTTTGGCGTTCGTTTCAGGAAGTCTTTTAAGGTGTCAAACCTCTTCGAGGGCTCGTAAATGTACCTGGTTTAAATCAATGTGTTTTGATACAATCTTGTGTGTGCGCGTACGTGTGCGTGTGTGTGAGAATGGGGGATTGAAGTGTAACATGTAACTTCCCTGTATAATTATCATTTATAAACCAACTGACAACGTATTTTCTTAAACCATAAACGTTCATGCCACATCATACAGGTAAATAAAAACTATGTGAAGGATCCTGTTTATACTTACGACGTCCGTGACGTACCTGTTTCTGTGTGGGAGAGGACAGCACATAATAATACATTAATTAATTAAACCTGCATGCAATATTTCTTTCCTCGTGTCAAACTGCCACCTAAGCCTCAGGGCACCATGACTGCTGCGTGCCATTAACAAATTAAGCCACACACTGCCTAGCATGGTTTCAAAGGGACTGGAACACAACATGTAACATCTGACTGGACTGATTTGGACAAAGTGATTTGTCCCGGGATCTCTAGCTCATCAAATTCATTGCCCTCTGGTCAGCTTCATTAAGACATGGGGATAGGTAAGTGACGTTTTGTTCACTGAAATATGCTATATTTTACATTTTTTACATTTTTATTTTGACTATTCTGGTTGAGTGTTAGGTGCAGCAATTGGTTGTGCAGAGTTGTGACCTTTCCAGAGGGTGGGCGGGGTAGTCTAGTGGTAGAAGCGTTTGCTCGTCAAGGCGAAGTCCCTGGTTCGATTCCCTATATATGTGTGAAGGCCATTTCTGGTGTCCGCCGTCGTGATATTGTGGGAACATTGCTTAAAGCGGCGTAAAAAATAAATTCACTCACTAGACTTTCACGAAATCTCAAGCTGTAATTTGGGTTTTCATCCCATTTCACCCTGAATATGTTTCTTGGTTTATTAGTTTGCCCGTTGGTGGAAAACGTCAAAGACCTGCATTACCTGTTACAAATATACTAATTTCATTTCACTTAAGTGTAGATGTAGTGTTTTGTGCCAAAGAGATAAACATAGGAATCATATTAAATTGTTCACAAAATACTGTCCATAGTGATAAGGCATAACCGGTTTCAGATCGATGTTCGGATATCGTTCAATAATGGTCAATAGGGCCCGTAAGTAGATCACGGCACTTCGCTAGACCTTAGTACTTCCGGTGACAAACAAAGTTTCATACCTTTTCGAATGGTCTCATGGTTGTCAGTTGACAGTAAGGAACCGATAGTCCTTGCAGGAATAACAAGTTTCCGATCTAAAGAAATCATCCCCAAATTAGCCAACTATTACAACTGTGAACAACTCTGACAGTCAAGCATTGTTGTAAACTTGGTCCGGTCTACTAAAGATATATTTTGCTGTCGCGCGATTTGGAACCAGAACTGGTTCTTGAATATACGCTTGTCACCGGAAATTTGGTACCGGAAGTAAGCTGGGCCCCGTCTTGCATATCGCAGGTTGGCGCGCGCAGAGGGAGCCTGGATCCAGCTTAGTACCGGAAGTAGCGAATCGCAAGACTTACAGGCCCTATTAGTCTTTTCCGGAAAACGGAAGAGGTACCAGCATAGTACCTCTAACAGGTCAGAGAGATATGACGATTCCTCATATCTTGCACAGTCCATTGTATATATTTTTTAACGCTTTCATTTTTGACGAGACTACACATCTACTTAATCTTCTTGTTATAGAATGGTTCTTTCACAGAGAAAATATCCAAAAACGTGTAACACTATTTGCCTAGCGATCCTTTGTTTACATAGGTTATACGGTTCCACGTGTTGTCATCGAAGCTCTATGATGTATAAATATGTATTGTTATGAATCTGACTGTCGCATTTGTAGAAGAATATATATATAATAATGTAAAACAATATGAAGAGCGCACCGAAAAGCTTGCATAAGGTCAGTCTCTTATTTACGTATATGTGCGTTTATTTACAAGCAAGAGAAAAAGTCTGGTCACGTGATATGCAAATTAGCCTGCGGCAGTGATGTTATGCTAAGTCATCACTTCGCCGGAGTGTGGACATCCCTGTAAACAAGCTCCTTACAGCGAACTCTATAATACTCGGAGGGTAACGAAAGTATCACGCCCTAATTGGAAGAGTTTGAAATTTTACAAAGCTAAGGGTCACTCCAATTAACGAGCCGCATAAAAGCTGCCAACAACAATAAACGCGGTATTTTACGAGCGTTTCGATAACAGCTGTAAACTTTCTTTTAATCAATCCAATATTTAAGTGTAGGCCGACACTTTCTTTTGCCAGGCAATGTGGCCCAAATATTGACACCCTTAACAATTGTTCACTATTCGACTACGGACACAAATAGTCTTATAAAGAGTATATAATATACTTTTCAGTTTCCGTCGTTGGTGTCGTCGTCGCCACGGTGTTATCACTTTGTTCTGTCGTCGTTCTGTCTGTGACGACTGACGTCACTACTGTCTCAAGTAACACCAATGTCAGCCTTATCAGCACCATTGTCAACCCCGACACCACGGACTTCATTCTTGACCCCTTAACTGACGCCAGCAACGTCACAGACACTGTCAACAACACCGTCACCGACGCCCCGCCGGTGGAGCAAGACACTGTCAACAACACCGTCACCGACGCCCCGCCGGTGAAGCCAAAGATGCCAGCCTGGTCCAGATGTTTATTGCAAGGAAACGGGAACAAAACAGCTGATGATTCGACTATAGTCGCCGTTCTTCTGTCATGGTGCAAGTGAGCTAAAACATTTTCGCAGATATAAACGTGTTTGAATAGTCCTGCTTTCGACTTACACTCTGAATGCGTGAGTGGGGTTTCCCGTCATTTACAGTGTTTGTATAAAAATTGTTTCAAGATTTGATTATCAAAATTTCAAAGAGCCTCACATGACTCTTATTCAGAATATGTTCGATTCGATCAAGGTTACAACGTTGAATCCCTCTGTAAAGCTTTCAAAGCATTATTATGACAGATATGTAAAGGAGATTTCCAAATGATTATTGAAGAAAATGATCTCCAATTCAATTCCCTGTTTCGAACCCGTGAAGATCAGGGTGTGAATTGGTCTTCAGTAACCCATGCTTGTCGTAAGAGGCGACTAACGGGATTAGGTGGTCAGGCTCGCTGACTTGGATGCCATATGTCATCGTATCCCAGTTGCGTAGATCGATGCTCATGCTGTTGATCACTGGGTTGTCTGGTCCAGACTCGATTATTTACAGACGGCCGCCAGTGCAGTGGTGTTAAACAACCAGCCAACCAACTAGGGGTGGGTATTGCAAAGAATTTTCATATTGCGATATATTGCGATGCGAAAGCATGTATTGCGATATGTATTGCAATAGACCGATCCAGTCCCGGCCGATAAGCCCCGCCCACTTCGTTTTTGACGTTAGGGGGGACAACTACTGACTAATCACAATGGCGTCACCGCCGGCGAAACGTACGTGATTGCGAATGTTGTTGATGAATTCTGTTTGTTGTACTTTGGTATCCGCCGTTTGTGAATGATATTTAAAAAGGAAAGTTATACATATTTTATTTTCAATATATTTTAGTTGACAGGTTGTATAATTGGCGAGTGAAAATGTAGTTAGATCTACATGCCCGATGAAAAATCGTCTCAGCCAGCTGCTGAGATTGGGAAGCGTATTTTCTACCAAATAATCTATCCGGCAATTCACGTTCGTCTAAGATATTAGCAGGGGAAAGGTAACTGAATTATGTTGTTTGGTGCTTTTTCTAAAAAAATCCCATCGTAATATTATAAAAACCGTGAACACAACCACATGTTCAAGTTGCAGATCGTTTCGGTATCTATAAAAAGATTGTCAAAACTGCGCGTGCCACCTTTATATATATCCGTTGTTCAAATTTAGTTAAATTAGAAGTTTGTGAAAACATGGGTTTCTACCTTTCAAGTAACAACGCAGGAAAACAGTATCCCGTCTACTACTTCGTCCACCTTGTTTGTCTGTATATATTATCTGGAAAACGTGGACCTGTTAACACAGTATGTTTCCATGGATGTATCTGGACATACCCAGAAGCAAATATTCAGCAGCTAATCTGCAGCTATTCTCAGTAAAATTTCTCTCTTCAAAATCAGTACACCATCTTAAAATGACACTGAATATAAGGAAATCCAATTTTTTAATAACCCTTTCCAATTTATTTTTCTATGTGTACTTTGTTGTGGAATCCTAATCTACAAACCTCCACTATAATGGACTTCATGAACTGCCAGCATTTATCTACAGGTATGTCACACCACCATAAACACAAACAATCCAAGATACAGTCTGCACCTGTACCCTGACACATCTTCCATAAATAGGAAACGTGTGGTGCAAAATCTTTGAACAGAGGATCCACAGTTATCCGAACAATTAACTAGCATTGAAATAGAATGTTACACAACATACAAATATACTGCTTTTTCTTCAGATATATTTAACTGCTAACTACTAATGTAAATAAGAGGCAAAGAATATATTCATAGTTTAAAGCTGTTTGTCAATAAAATTGCATATTGACATTATTGCTTCTTAAACGTTACAATGATAATCTTTGTTTTATTAGATCTGAGACCATATCCCTTAGGGACATAACACTAATTCTGATCTATTTCCTTTTCTGAGATACTTACTAGTGTCATCAAAATTATATTAAAGTTGCTTAAAATTTTGGTAAAAGTCATAACAAAAGTTTAGGAAAACATACATGAAAATGTCCTGAAGCTTTCACCTCCTGCAACTAAACCAGTGTGCAATTTAATATGAATTTAAGCTTATTTTCCAAATAAGCATCAACAAACCTTGAACAATTTGTCCAAACCAACATCCCCATAAACACTACTTTGGCTCAGTCTTCAAATATTGGTAACCTCCTCAAAAGCTGATGATTTCTAAGAAGTATTACATGAAATCGGGGTTGAATATATGTTTCAATATCCATTCCAGATACATGAACAGTCAACTTAGAAATCTGTAAGTTATTTGGTTCCAAGACTGAATAATGCCAGGTTGTGAACAACACGTATAGCCTTTGTTTGTTTTTTAAAATTCTCTGGATGTTGAAATAACTTTATTATGAGTGATGATACTAGTGATCACTCTCTGAATAATCTTATTAGTAAACATATTATTTAAAGACCAAATATATCTTAAAACAAACTAGCTATCTTAGTACCAAGTGATTGTTCAGCCATGATATGTATATAGTGTTTGTTTGCCAAGTTCTGCCTTAAATTCACATGAATCTGATATGTGAGTCAATTAAGTAATTATTTATAATTGATTGGATTATTATCTATTTTATTACCTTTCCACGTTTCCTGAAGGAGGCAAGATTCTTAAAACATACCTTGCTATCATTTCCAGTGAATTATAATTAAAATGACAGAACTATGTTAAAAATGTACCAATGTACCCCCACCCCACCCTACATGTAAAAAAATTATGCTGTGACAAAAAATCAAAACAAATAATGTTCTCATAGTTAGGAAATAAACTTATATTTCACTCCGTCCGATATTCCAGAAAGTCACTATTCTTCTCACATAGTTTTCGTCTCCGATCCACATGGAGTAAGCTACATCAATTCAAGGTCCCATCTCTTCATAGAAATTCTGAAATATTTAAGACATGGTTTTATAGACACTTATTTGAATTAATTTTGATGTTTGGATATTGCGTGATAGGCAACTGCTGACACTGACAATATTTCCGTTTGGATAAAAAAATGTTACTCCTCGAATATTTTGCACTATCAACATATACTCTACTGTGTACAGGCCTTCAGATTGTGCTTTTGAAACTTTAAAACATCCTAAAATGTGTGACAAATTTAAGAATTTCTAATCGCGAAAGCAACCATATCCACCACATTGTTCTTTAATGTAACAAGTGTTGCTATTTCGGTCGACCCTAACCGAAATCAGCTCGCTGTCAGATTTGTTTACGTTGTGTCACGGCTTTCTCGCCTGTGTCATTTCAGGTTTATGGTGTACCAACTCAATGCCCAGTAGTGACTAAAAACGTGAAGCAAAAACAATTTTGTAGTTACAAGAATTGTCCGTGTTTATAACACTTTCAAAATCCTAAACTGCTATTTATTGTCATCTATTGGTAATGCTTTTGCACATGTGCGAAAGTGTGTAAATTCGTGTAAATTCTCACCTTCGAGCAGACGTAGATTTCGTGAACGACGGTGCCGACATTTAACTGCTCGTTAGGCCTATCGCATTCCTAGATCCGCCTCAATTTTTTTGTCTTGATCGTAATGGTTTTGGTAAAGGTACACATCAAATCACAGCAATATGTAATAGATATAGCGAGTGTAAATGGCATAATTCAAAGCACATCGCTTCGGAGGCATCGTTTGACCCCGGAAATAAATCTGACAAATCCACACAGCGCGCCCGGCCTGCTGATTGACGCATGCGCCAGTTTTGAGTGACAGACTGGATCGGTCTATTTCTAAGATGCCTAGCGGTTAGAACAATCGAAAAAAAAATACATTATCAGACAATAAAGGTATAGTTTTTTGATGACGTAACAATTGAATGACGTTATCCCGTCACTGCGCCATTCTAGTGTGCCCCCTCGTAATCGAACCATTTTACATTACGTCACAATGTAAGCGACGTCACGATGCATGTCAGCTGCCATCGCCTCGTACAGCCTCCTACAGTAAACTACTCCGTTGCATCCCGTTTCTTGGTTTGCAGCTGCTTCACGCAGCTAACATCACTGGTGGAAACATTACGTTTATGTTTTACGACGGTTAAAATGTGTCATTTCGACTCACAAGTTTTCAGCGACACGGTAACGTTCGCAATGTTTACATTCCCACAATGCAATCGTGGAATGTCGCTTGACTACTCAGCTTCATCTGGATGTACTGATCTAAACTTACGTTGGTAGTAGAAATGCGACGTTCATATTGCCCCACATGGTTTACGTTAATGACAGATGTAATTAAAATAATTCAGAGAAGATATTTAATCCGAACGTAAACCGTCATCAAACTGTTATCATTTTTTCTGGTAACGTTCGTCTTAACGTAGGGGTCAGACACATCAATAGAACAGCGCGCCAGTTAGCCCTGTGCGAGGATTCTTAATTTAGGTCACCGACACCGTCGTTTGTTTTCTGCCTAAGATTATTCGTAATTATCTTTAGAAAGAATTAAATTTGGCATCTTAGAAAAGAAATACAGTTCGCTCTACCACCATGTATAGTGTAATAAAGCACACTTTCGCCCTGAACTATTATAACGTTAAAGCACTCGGACGCAAGCGTTTTCGTACTTTAACTATAATAGTTCAGGGCGAAAGTATGTTTTATTACACTATACATGGTGGTAGAGCGAATTGTATTTCTTAAATATTGCAGGACGTTAATGCTTGATTTATAAAGCAAAAATACAACAAAATCACTATGCTTGATTAAGCTTTAATAAAATCTACTTTACCATTGCATATTCTACATACCGCTTTACTCTGACCAATAGTTCCATCTTCATTGAACTTTTTCAACCCAAAATGCTGCCTTACCGATGCCTTTGCCCTAGTATTTGGAACCACAATAAATTGTTCGTTGTTGGGGGTGACCATTTTACAACACGCGCATGGCTTCCGGTGTAAAAAAACGGAAATATCCGAAGATTTTCGAGTGTTACAAAGTTTTCCGAATGCATGTCAAAATACCGGTTTTCGATCAACGTATCGC